TATATATATATTTCATTGTAAGTCAGTGAATTGGTTGTATTTACACAACTGAGTGAAATTACATGAACGGACACTTAATGCAAATGGTCCAGATTTGTGTAACTTAACATTTGTGTTCCAATAACTCAGCTTGTAAAAGTTATTCAACAGATAAAAAAGGATTTAACATGAATCCTTTAAAATATTGACTTTTCAACATCTGTGTTTGACAGTTAAAGTAAAATATAAAATGAGTAAAATCGATTTATTAAAACGCTTCAGATGAATTAAATATGTCCTTGACTCAGTTAATGTAGTGATCAAATGTTCACCATTTTAAGTGTTTTATTTTTTTCTAGATTGTTTCTTGTTTTCAATGTAATTCACCCATCATTTAAAGACACTACAGTTCAAAATGAACATTTTAGCTGTATGTTACACAGAACACAGTCTCTTTTGATGTTCACCGTTGATTGATAGATTTTCCGCCACAAGGAAGTTTCAAAACTGACAAGTTTCGGTTTTCTTCACAATATTGAAATGAGTGGAAAACAGTTTGCTGCCAGGAAAGATGGCTGAGAAACAAACAAAAAAAAAAAAGAAAAACATTCTTTGCTTTGGAAAAATGTTCAGTACTTACGCAAACAGGGGCCGGGTGGTAATGCCCCAAAAAAGAAACCAAAAACTAGGCCAGTGTCAGAGGACTTGTTTCCACCCCCGTGATTAGCAGTGGTCCTCGTGTGGCTGCCCCTTTAAAAGATTTCTTGTTTTCTGTGCGCTAATTATAACTGGTGATATGTTCTAAACCAGTGGTGCACAAACCTGGCCACTATTCTGGTTCTCAGGGGCCAGTATCCTGCCCCTGAGGACCAGAAGTGGCCAATTCGAATCAGATGGCTCAAAGTGGAGAAACATCTTAAACAGAGGAGCCCAAAGTGGGGCCCGTGGGCCAAATTTGGCCTTCCAAGCCATTTGATTTGGCCCACCAGCAGCTGAGTAGTGACTAGGCTGTAATCTGTCATTCTATGTAGAAACCCACACTCTAAAAATGAAATGTTGGATTTACTTAACCATGTTATGTTACCTGGTTCCACTTAACTGAGTTGAGTAAATTCAAAGCAACATACTCATGTTCTTTGGCTAAAAAACTGGTATATTGCTTTGAATTTACTCAACTCAGTTAAGTGGAACCAGGTAACATGACATGGTTAAGTAAATCCAACATTTCATTTTTTACAGTGCAGTTTCCACACTTCGCCCACTGGCCCAGTGACTATATAAGGGACTGTAGTGCAGATAGTTTTCACTCATGGTGCTGACTTTATCTTTGATATATAAAGATTAAACATGAAGCATGAAATACAAGTAACAAGAGATATTTAGATTATATTTAACCAAACATGTAGATTTTCACACTTTATATGATCACAAAAACTCATATTTTATCAATTTATTAAATGTCCCATGAGGTTTTGCTACTTGAGCGTATGGCAGACTTTCTCCAAGTTCACAAACTAAAACAAGAGCGGGCCACCACACTGGCTTCTAGCTTAATTGTTAAAAATAAAGGACTTTACTTAAAAAGTATTTGTATTTCATGTATTATATTACTGCATTTGGCCTGCAGCCCGAATACATTTTCATTTTGGCCCTCTTGAGGAAAATGTTTGGGCACCCCTGAGAAAAGTTTAATTCCTTATGTAAATTARGTTACATATTTTCAAAACACATGAATGTGGTACTTAACTTAGTAAAAACACAGTAAGACAGTAAAAACATAACCTTTCATTGTTCAGTAGTGGGCCATGATAGATTCAAAATTTAAAAGTTTCGGTATAAATGAAGAGACTCAGTTATTGTTAAAGAAACTTCTTACAGTTAGTCTGCTTTCAGTTGGACATTTCAATGCCATGAAAACAAACAAGCACACATAATCATGCTTGTTTTTATATTTTTATGAGGACCGTGCATTGAAATCTTCCACTTATTTCTGTATCCTGAACCTTACCCCCAAAATTACCATCCTGTAATCCTGAGGTTGAGGGTTTGAGCCCATCAGGAAGGCCGTCTGGGTGTTGAACAGTAGCCAGATGTTTTGTTCGCCTACTGAAATCCCCTGAAAAAGTTTTTGTCGAAGGATGGATTTTGAGAAGGAAACTCAAAGGTGATGGTTCTCCCCCAGATCGTGGTTGTGGAACTCAATCAGGCACTCAGTAGCCTCCTCAACTGAGCCCATCTTCGACCCAGTAGGCTCCGTGTAAAACTGCTGCCTTTTTTTTTAGCAGCGTTGCACATTGGACGTTACGAACGATTCATCGTCTTTTGGACTTACCCGTGTGGACGCGGTGGTGCGTGTCCAGTTGGTGTTTAAGGCTGAACTTCTTGGGACAGTGTTTGCACTGGTAGGGTTTTTCCCCCCTGTGGTCACCTCTGGTCTCTGCTTCGTGTTGCACAACTCGTCCTCCACAGAACTGACATCCAGCACAGCCTTTGCCTACGACAAACAGAAAAAACAAGACGGGAGGTGTGAACATGTTGGTCAGTGGTAAAAAACTACTGATAAATCTACAGTTTCGGTTCATGAGACAGGATGCACCAAAGCACAAGTTTCATAAAGTTTCTGCAAAACATTCATATGTAAGATATTTTTTACTCTTTTTCTTTATATTGACCGTTGAGCAAAAAAAAGGTACGCAGGCCACCGGCATTACAAATGAACTACATTTATTTGAAGGCAAAAACTAACCGATAAAGACTTTTCGGGTTTTACAAAAAATTAAATTAATATTTGTAGATGATTTGATAAGGATTAATGGTTAAACTTGTTCTAAAGTGACAGCTTTGCGTTTCAGATGTTCTGCGAGAGGAAAACTGATGTTATCTTTTTTAACTTAGTGAAAATGCTTGTTTTCCTTTATTATTCTATTTTTTTTTCTAGAAACAAACTTTGAATTAATAGCCTCTATTTTCTTTCATATTTGATTGTGACCGACCTGTCTTTTTTTCGCAATCCTGACACTACTGGCCTCACTGACCTGAGAAAAGTTTCATGCAAAAACTGTATGAAGAACAACAAAGGGTTACATTTCAGTAGAAAGGGTCTATTTTTTGTTCAGCGTCCTGTTGCATGATAATAGATCTGTTGTGTAAAGCCTGTTTTCCTGTCAGCGTGCGAGTACGTCTCCTAAAAATTACAAAGGTGTGATTTCAAGGTAATGTGCTGTGAAAGTTTTTCACAAGTCGGCTGTTCTTTTTTTTTTTTTTAGGGTGTCTCGAGAGAAAATGTGGCCCTCAGAGTAGCCTATAGACAGGATGCCGAAATACAAAGCGAGTGTACTGTAGTGGAGGAGGAGGGGAGACAGGAGACAATAAAACCACAAGAATTGAACAACCACTCTAAACGCAACCTGCTGTATGTTGCCTGCGTGTTTCCTGTGTAATGCATTGCTTCATATTTCACTTTGAAAGCCCTCACCCCCAGATTTTTATAACACTTATTTTGAATGAATCCCTAACTTAGAGGTATTTTTTACCTCCGCAAACGGCGAGGTAATGTTTTCGGTCGCGTGTGTCGGTCTGTCTGTCGGTCGGTCGGCCTGTCTGTGGACAACATTACTCAAAACTTGTGGACGGATTGTCAGGATATTTACATCACATGTGGAAACTGGCACAAGTAACACACCATTAAATTTTGGTGGTGTTCTGGATCACGATGCAGATACAGGAATTTTTTTTCTTTTAATCCTCTCAGATTGGCAAAGCTGTGATGCTTTTACAGGGCTTCTGTAAAAAAAATGTGACAGCTTTCAGTGTTTGGACTTCAAACTTTATAAAAGTAATGCTAAAACCAGATGTAAAGATGAATAATTCTTGCCATAATGTGCGCATTTTTACGCATTTTTTGATGCACATTTACAGAATGTTTTGTGACCAGGAAGTGCGTGACTGCACCATGAAACCTATTTTTCCCATTTCCTCAAACACACCACATTGTCGGTAGGCTTGCACACAGATCGATGAAGATTGAGGAAGAGGAGTGACATGGTGGACTTCAGACTCGGAGGTTGTTTGTTTGTTTGTTTGTTCATTTTATTATTATTGAAATGAGGCCAGATCAAGTCGAGACCTATTTGTGTGCCCCTCTATCCACCTCTCGCCAAACTTTGGGGAAAAAAAATGCACAAAGCGTGGTTGTGACCGCTGTGTGTGTTCCTCACAAATATAGGAAATTATGTGTGTGTCTGTGTCATTACACGTGCGATGGAAACTCTGCTTTTTGAATCACGTAGCACCGACGTGAAAGCTTTCAGCAATAACGTCGGTTGGTGAGTCTGATTTTTTCCTTTGTTTTCCACATTGGACTCCACCGGGAAGAAATTCCGTGCATACTGCCTGCTTAAATGTTCGCTACGTCTGAACTTACAAATGTGTTTCCATCTCTGCTTTTAGTGCATTAACTCTATTACAGGATGGAGGAAATTGGACTTGGAGGAGGTTTGCACTCTCCGAGTGCTTCTAGTTTTTATTGAAAAACTGTGTGTGGGGGTGAGAGAATTGCACAGGAATCCCCCTTCTTAAGTAGAGTTTTCTCACCGCTGTTGAAATGTGGAAAAAAAACGTTCCACTGAGCAGAGGATATTCAGCCACAGATAAAATGTTAATCAGTCTTATTGTACAGTTAAAACTTGCATGAATTCAGGCGCGAGGCCCGACCACAGATCCTGTTTGCATTGCTCAACGCTGTTCTCCGGTCGTGTTAGGGAGTTTATCGCGACATGCGTTCCGCTCTTTTGGCATGGGACAAACCGCTGTTTTGATGCAGCACACACTGTACTGCATGTATCGAGCAGTATCTGGTAACCACACTACTGCTCTTATTGCACCATGCTCGCAAAACCACAACTCTCTTTATCACTTTCCATTACGTAGCAACATAGCTGGAGCCTGACAAGGTTAGGGGTCATGACAAGAAATGCCTTCAACGTCTTACTGCTGTCTTTTGGGGCAAAACGGCCCACGAGGCCTCGGCTGTAGGTCGTCTCTGATCTATGGGCAGCAGTAGGTTTTTACTTTGGTTGTAGCAACAATCTGCTCAGTGTGCTGCTTTGGTTCAAAGTTTTTCCTTTTCCATTATTATTGTTTTTTATCGTTACCTGTGGAGACTGAATCCCGTTGCATCGGATCACCAAGGAGTCTTGTGCTGCAGTGCTGGCAGTTTTCAGCTCTTTCAGACACTTTTGGCACTTCCGAATAACTGTGAGAAACATATTTGCTCTGTGTCAAAACTGCAAAATCACGATTGCTTGTCATTTTAAACTGAGAACAAAATAGTATAATAGAAAAACATATACGTCATCAGTCACAGAAAGCAAGCAAAGCTCTAGTTTGGCACCGAAACTTCGTAATTCATRCACTGTTCTTCTTTAATCCTAAACTGAAAACATTTACTGCATTTCTTCGTGGTATAGTAAACATGTCTGTCATGAAATGCTCGAGTAGAGGAAACAGGAGAGCGTGGGATATACCAATGAACAGGTTTCTTTTTTTCCCCCCTCCAACAAAGGCATAGTTATTATTTTGAAGAACTTTTTGTGGCGCAGACACGGCCCATTGAAACACCAAAGATGCTTTTTTGTGGGTGGAAAATTTTTAAATTAGCAGAAGAAAGTAGAGATTTAGGGGCCTCCCCTCTACTCACGGTTTTGTTTTCAGACACGAAAAACTCGAAAGAATTGGGTAACTAGCACACAAAAAAGTTGTAGATGCTCAGACTGAAAATTCATGAATAAGAAGAAAATAGTACCTGAAACCAATTTCAATGGTAAAAAAAAAATTAAAGGGATCACGCAACACTTTTCATACCAACATTTTACTAAAATCATTCTTTTATGATGAATTATTACAGTGTTGTGTTTGATTTGGTCACATCTTGAAAATAACACTGTTTGTGACCTCATACAATGTTATGCATCTCAAGCACTACTATACCAAATTAGAGCTCAACATCTATAAAATTCATTGATTTATAGTCAGTTTCATGTTTGTTAAGGTGAATTTGCTTTGGCAGCCATCTTGAATTGAGTTGACCCCAAGGGCGTAACTTTTGGTCTGTCATTGTGGGGGTTATGCTCTAAAACCCTGAACGCTTTTTTTCAGCAATTATGCTCAAACATACATATATGACATTGTAATTTTTTATCAGGTTAAATTTACCAAAAGACAAGATTTGCATCTGTCTACTTAACCAGTTAATTTCTATTGTGTTTGAGCAAATGATGCAATTTTATCGGGGGGTTATTTTGACTTGATCAAATTATTGTGGGGGTCATAACCCCCCTAACCCCCCTGCAAATTACGCCTATGGTTGACCCATAAAGTTAATTAGTTGTAGACGTACATTCATTGAATACCTTCTGAGAGTTTCATTAAAATCACTTGAGTGGTTCATGAGGTATTCTGCAAACAGACGCAGCCAATACAATCTCTTGCCTTTCATGTTGTTGGACGATAATCAGAAACCGAAAGTTAGATTTAGATCATTTAATGTAAACTGGTTCATTTGAGGCGCTGAAACCTGGAGTACGGTTTCTTAAAAAGAATAAAAAAAACTTTGAGAGTTTATTAGAGGCAGCAAAGGGTTCACGGGTGCATCCGATGTAGCAGGAAAGTGCAGGAGTCTCGATCAAACACGTCTAACCCAAGCAGTGAGTCAGGTACGGTAGCTGTCGCAAAGGAACAACTGAACAAGTTAGGGGGTTCTTAAATGACTCTGCAGTAGGAAAAAAAACATGCGAGACAATAAGAGAGAGAAAAAAACACAAACTGAAGTTTCCAAAATCATGTCAGAACTTACCTCGTCTCAGTGGTTTGACTTGTCTGGCTCAGTCTTTTTCGTTTCAGCAGGCTCTGTTTGATGATGCTGCCCATCCGGGAGGTTCCGGTGTAAAGGTTCTGAGTGTAATGAGGAGGGAACCGGGGGTAGCCCGTTGCAGAGTTCTGAAATGGACTTTGAAAGTGGGAACTGAGTAAAGGGAACATTCGCGGTGTRGACAGGGAGAAGGGGTACACTAAAGAGGACTGGTTTGAGGGTTGAAGGGGATGAGCTGCTACCAGGCTCGAGTAGTTCTGGGTGATACGCCTTAAGGTGTTCAAGTGTGTCATGGAATCCAACATGGTTTTGGGGAAAGTCCAGGGAGAGGAGAACGACGAGCTGCTGGTTGTGGGCTTTGTAAYGACGCTATCGCTGCTGCAGAACATTTCAGAGACAGGAGACAGTCTCGCTTTCTTTTTGGGACATTTTAAATCATCGTTGGCATTCGGGGAATCGACGTTACTAACACTTGCTTTCTCTGCTGGGGTRGAAGTCTCTCGGACCAGCTCCTCATGAACTAGACTTTCTTTTGGCTTTTGGACTCCCYTTTCTACAGATCTCCTATCGTCTTTGAGATGTGCACTGTCTCCTGCTTGCTCTTGCTTTTCAGCTTCCAGAGCCTCTAATTGCTTGCGGCACTGGTCCTCCAGAAGCTGCATTTCCAACAGCGTGGCCGCTTTAAGCAGCAAACGCAGGTCTTTCACGGGCACCTCGACAGCTTGGGTGTAGGTGAAGTCCAGAACTTGCTGGAAGGTGTGCGGTGAGAAAAAATCCAGAGTGCAGTGGACGGGACTGTCAGCGTCCCCCTGGGCTAGCAGCTGAGCTAAAGTTCTACTGGCACAAGCCAGGACCAGCCGATGGGCCTTGAAAGTCTGACTCTGTACCGAGATAAAGGCATCACAGAGCAACCCTGAGTGACGTAAGGCATCTGCATTCTGCAGGAAGTGAAAGTATTGGGTGTTGTTGATTCGAATCATTTTCGCAGTTTCCAGAAATATTAGCAAGGGCCTGAGAAGAGAAAGCCACAAAGAGAAATGCTATCAGATAATGCCCACACTGAGTTAAAAACACTTTGAAAAATTTGGGGTTTATGTGACATTTCTAAAGTGTGAAAACCACTTTGCAAATAAACAAAACAAATGAGTACTTGATTATACCTTATTTTTTTGCTGTGGGTTGCACTTTTTTCCTCSCTAATATAGTGTTTCCTACAGCAGGAATGAAATGTACATTTCAAATGAAATAAAGATATATGTTTAGTCATTATACAAAACTTACAGTTATCTGTGCATATTTAAACAAGGTTCAGACAGTGAAATTCACACGTCTTTGAACTTAGCAGGAATTTTGTCTGCATGCTTGAGCGTTTGCTTGATACTGTGGAAATGTACTCATTTCTGACAGCTTTGATATTCGCTGAGCGCAGGCACACACTAAAGCCACAAAGCCCTAAGAGTATATGAAACCATGACTAATGACTGTACAATAAAAAAAAAAACACACGAGTAAAGTTCAAACGTCAACAACAATAAARCTGTATTTAGGTGTGATAAACATCAAATGCAAGAGTGTGCAGGGGTGTAATATGTAAATATGTCAGTATGGTTTCAAATATAATTGGAATTTGACGTCTAAGATTGAGAATACTGGAATGAAACCACTGTAGCAAAAAGTATCAGATGCCTGGCAGGTTGTCGTCTTACATAGATTAAGGCTTATAATTTGGACTGAAGAATATCGAGATGTAGAAAGCAGAGAGATAATTTAAAGGTTTTTATTTCGACAGTCAAAATGAAACAAATTCGTTCCTCTAAAGGTTTGACTGTAAATGCAAACTCGATAAAAATTAAAATGATATTTACCATATTTGAAAAACGTAGATTTTCAAATATCTCTCCAGTGCTGCTGTTAAACTAATCCCTATTAAAAAACTTTATGAAAAAAAAACTTTACACAGCGTCACATAAAATACATCTTTTCTTAATTACTGAATTTAGAAATTTAACACTTGGAATAAACTTTCTTTTTTTAAAAAAATGTTTTTTTATTTTTGCAATATGTTTATGTCGCCTATTTAGTGACTATTTGAGTGTGCTTCACGCGTGGAGCTTCGAGAGTGAAAGTGAGAGAAGTGCGACACGATTCGCTGTACATACTGTACTGTACACRGCAAGCTTGAGGTTTTACTTGAAGGGCCAACCGGTAATCAACAAATAAAACAAAAAAGCAATGTAATGTATTGAATTATTAGGTTTTTCAGCATGCACAAAAAACAATCCTAGAAGTCAAACGTACRTCTGTCTATGAACACGTCATCAGTCTAAATCAGTGGTTCCCAAACTTTTTATCTTCTGACCCACAAAATATTCATGGCAAAAACTTGTGACCCCAAATATGGTCTGAGTAAACTTTGTTAAAAAAAACCCAAAACACAGGCTTTTTGACAATCTAAACAGCTTGTACACAAATATAAATACTTATTTATACTTATTTTGTGTTTTTGTAATAATTATAGGGAAAATATTACATCAGCAATTATTTTATTACCCTTTAAATTGATTTGTGGAGATTAWCCAAGGTGCTTCATGACCCATAATTGGGTCCCAAGCCCAACTTTGGGAACTAAAGTGCAGTGGTTCCCAAAATTTTCAGCTTTTGACCCACAAAATAACACTAGCAGAGACCTGAGCCCCCAACTATTTTTGGATGATAAACATTTGTATCAGGTCARCTAAACATGGGCATAGTAACAGTATTTATCATTCTACATTTATCCATTTTAAATATACTAACCTCACTTATTTGTAACAACTAAGGCAAAAATGTAATTAATTCAGAAAATCTTTTCAGGACCCCACCTTGATGTTTCAGGACCCCACTTTGGGTCCCGACCCCAACTTTGGAAAACACTGGTCTAAATGATTGTAGATTGTACCAAAGTTTTTTTTACCACAATATTTGCAACTATGATTAATATGATTGTAAATTGTTAACTAAGTAAGAATCATTTTGAGCTTAGATGAAAATAACGCTGCAAGTTGAACATACATCTGCCTATAAAAACACATCGTCTGCGTACATGATTATAGACGGACGATAACACATTTTATCAGACCTCCGTTTTTCACATTTTAATATTGCAAAGCTTGATTTTAACAAACTGGTTGAATCATTTTAATGTAATTTAGTATTGAACTATTACACTTATTTATACGTATAAATATTTTATGGATAAACTTCTAAAAAAACGACTAACACTTTTGCAGAGCAGTCAAAYCAGTATAAATAAATATTGCTAAAACCATTAGAAAATAAAAATCTAAGTAGTTAATTGCTTTAATGGTTGTATTTTTGGAGTTAATTTAWATGATGTTAGAATTATTTTTTCATGGATTTATACATTTATTGTGACTACTTAAATRCAGTGAATTTTCCAAATATCCCTTAACGTATCTTGGGTCTTGTTTGGATTATTTTTGATCCTTTAGAAATCTCTTTAGTTTTATTGAATAACATCTTGTAAATCATCACATCTCACACCAACCATTAAGTCTTACTTTACTGTGTACATTCGATTTTTATTACTGTTACTGCGGCTTTATGTCAATGTCAAGGTCAATGTCAAATTTATTTGTATAGCACATTAAAACAACAAAAGCTGACCAAAGTGCTTCACAGTTAAGTCAAGACGTCAAAAAACAAACAAATAATAGATACAAATACAGAAACACAATATAATATATGAAAAATCTCTAACTGAACCTCCAACTCGGTCTTAATSAAAAGCCAAAGAAAATAAATGGGTCTTCAGCAACGATTTAAAAGCCTCAGCAGTCTCTGCTGACCGAATATTGAGGAGCCTCCCAGCTTTGGAGCAGCTTTTGCAAAAGCCCGGTCACCTCTAGATTTCAGTTTGGATCTAGGAACATSGAACAGAAACWGGTTGGTAGACCTGACTGCTCTGACTGGAGTGTAGATGTTAAGAAGAAACATAAATATGACGRGGCCAGACCATTAAAAACTTTAAAAGCCATCGATAAAAGCTTAAAATCAATTCTCAGGTGAACAGGAAGCCAATGGAGAGAAGCAGGACCGGGGTTATGTGTTCATGCTTTTTACTACCTGTTAAAAGAYGAGCTGCTGCGTTCTGGRCAGTCTGYAGGCGATGYARAGATGAGTTGTCTAAGCCTGCATACAAAGAATTACAACAGTCCAAGCGGGTAAAGCATGAAGCACCCTTTCAAGGTCTTTAGTGGGGAGATATGATTTCACCTTAGCAATTAGTCTTAATTGGAAAAAACTTGATTTTATAACCGAATTAATCTGTTTATCCAATTTATTTTATGTGTCCAAATCATGGTGGGACACCCCACTGCCCCTTCTGTCCCCAGGAGGGGCTACGAGGAGTTTAGAGCAATGGTTCCCAAAACTTTTAACCAACTATTTTTGATTGATAAACATTGGTATCAGGCCAAATAAACAGGCATATTAGCATTATTCATTATGCTACTTTAATCTATTTTTAAGTACACTAACTTCAACCTTGTAACAACGAAGACAAAAGTTTTTTTTTTAAATTGAATAAATTCTCAAAACCTGGGTGTTTCAGGGTCCACAGCGGGGTCCCGACCCCAACTTTTGGAACCACTGATTTAGGGAATGAAAATTATGTTTTGTAAAATAATGCACACAGTCATGCTTTCTGATGACGGGAGGCCTTCAAATGAAGGTATCAGTTTTATTGGGTACTCWCGAAAGCGAGTTCAAAACTTTTAAATACTTTTGCAATTCAACCCGACACTCATCCTCCTCAGCTCTTGCAGAGTTCTGACAGCCGGTGCGTGAGCTCCATTCACTCACACTACAGTACGATCTAATTGCTTACACAGGGGAAAACCTTGCATGCAAATGTGAGATTTACACATCCTTTAACAAACAGGACATGAACTTACAGTCACGGCTCAGTTTGTCAAAGACTGTGAAGTCACAGGAGACATTTGAAAGATTCTGTGGGTTACAGAAAAGCACAGCAACACAGAGCTAGTTTGTGTTTTCTTTTTTTTTTTTTTTTGTTTTTTTGTTCACAGGATACCAAAAACGAGCAAAGATGAGCAAAGCTGAACAGTTTGTGATCTGGTTTCGGGTCTCAGAAGCTAAAGAAGATGCATGAAAAAGACACTTACCGGGTGGTTAGTGAGTATTCTCCCTGGAGAGCGACGAGCTGCCTACATCATGACTGCAAAGTGATCTTGTGAAGTGACATGTCTGTCGGGGCACAGGTTAGGCTTGTGGGACAAGGTGGTTTCCTCTCTGCCTCTGCAATCCCTCCTCTTCAACTCTCTTATTGGTGCATTGATTGCGGCGTTAAATGGCCTGTTTAATGTAAGGAAACATGGACTCTTTTTCATCACTGAACTAAAATTCAGCTTTTTATTTTTTATCTTTTTTTAGTCAGATTTTAGTTGCCATTTTCTTCCTCTTGAAGAGAGTATTGTTGATCATAAACAAAACCTGAACTCAATCCAAAAAAAAAAAAAACACCTTAAACAGTTCACATTCAGAAACCGAGAAATGTCAGAAGAGGAGAGAAGACAAAGTACACAAATATCTGTCTGATGCCGTGCACTTCTGCAGGCTCGCCCCCACCAGCATCATTTGCTGGTCACTACGTGAATATACGGTTGTGTGCTGAGACAAAAACCACCTGAAAGTGACTGGTTTGTGACAGGAAGCATGCAGACCAGAGCCCAGTGGTACTGACATGCAGGAAGGGCTGGAGGCTTCACTGAAACTTGCACTCTTTAAATAGAGATATCTACTTTTCCCTTGTCAGCTATGACAGATGTTGGCGTGACAATACCTGTAAAAATAGGTCAACTGTAGAGAAATGGTCAGTTTATCAGAGCTCAATGGTTGGTTAGTCCTACATTGTGTTCCTTCATTGTTTGTTTAAAACAATAAAAAAACAGCAGGTTTC